CGCGCCTCATATTTTCTATCTCTTTTTGGTGAGAAAAAAAAAAAAAAAAAAAAAAAAAAAAAAAGAAAGTGATCCTTCTTTGAAACAGAGAAACTCACACCGTATTTGGGATCCTCTTTGAAGCTTCACCTTTTGTGCCTGTTAAAATCAAGTATTTTGATATGAAGAACTGAGGAGCCAGCCTCTCCCTTTCTTCCTGTATCCCTAAGTAATACTCATGGATTTCCTCCTCACACATTTTCGTTTCTCTTTTGCCACTTCCATTTTACAAAGTTGAGAGAAGGTTTTGGACACAGCAAGGAAAGAAAAGAAAACAAAACAAAAATAGGAGAGTAAGCAGAAATGCCAACATGGAAAAATCAGACTTGGGCATTTTGTTTTATGAAACGGGAAACCATTTCATCTCCAGCCCAACCAAACTTCCATTTTTTTGCTGCTAATGGACACACAAGGTGTGTGGTTTCTGGCCGAGATGCACTGACGCTAGCTACCTTGGTAGCCTTGCGAACTGCAGTTCACAGATTTGGACCAGAGAGAACATTATGATAATCTAATTTGACCTCGTCTGTACTGCAGGCCATAGCACTTCCCCTCTAATTCCTACAGCATGTGCATGCTTTCTGTCTGGACTAAAATGCGTTTTTCAAAAAGCATCTATCCTAATTTAAAGGCCTTAAGTGGTGGCAAACCTAACACACGCTTAGGCCTGCAGCCTGAGGGTTACCTAGAAGATGACCTTCACGCAAAACCCCTTCAGCAGTCTGTACTCCCTTGTCCTCAGAAGCAGAGGATGATCTCCCCCTGAAGCTGAGACCCAAACTGAGCTTGCCACTGGATTCTCAAAGATCGACCAAAACTCACCCTCAGGAACCCGGTACCTTGATCCTGAGGAATCAAGGCAGGACGACTTGGTGCTCCCCGCTCTCTCCTCTCTAGATTCTAAGCGTTCCCGTGCCTCCCTGGACAGGCAGGAGGAAAGAGGAGAGATTTTTCTCCTGCCAGATCCTAGAAAACTGTGGGGCTGCTCGGAAGAAGAGGGAACACAGACAAAGCCATTTCCTCGGAGGGTACGTCCCCCAAGGAAATGCTTTAAGAGGGCATCCTTAACAATTCCTTTTCAGACAGTCCCAATCCAATTCCAGTACAAGTACCGGCCCAAATGACTGAGAAAAGATTTTTTTCAGAGAGGCTTTCCGAGATGAGCATGACACAACTGAAGACTTAAAGATGCCATAAATCGAGGAGATGAAGACCACAGAGTCAGGTGCCAAGAGTGCCTCTGAAGAAGGGATCCTAGAAGACCTCTGAAAGCTAGGAGGCCCCCGAGTGTCATAAACACCAAAAGAGCCCATCTACCAAAATCATGTTCTCCATGAGTCACATCTGAAACTGAAGGCAACAGGCTTTTCTTAGACCTAGAAACCACAGAGCGGCGCATTCAGAGCTCAGAGCTGATGGCCACGGAGGCTTTCCTCTGAAGCACGCTTTCCACGGATCCTGTGCATCAGCCACACGGAGCTACCAACTGGAGAGAATTTCTCAGGAAACAGTTCTAGCCTTTGGTAAATTATTTGAGGCTTAGCCTAGAAGACGGTTACAGGCCAGGAGAGATGCTTTACACAAGAGCTCTGACGAGTCTCTCCTCAGCTGAAATGGCCAGATGAGTCAGAAAACTGCCCCAAAACCGGAGAGTCAATCTGAGCAGCCCTGACCTCTCCCCACGGAAACTCCCCAGACCCAGGAGGCCAGCTGCATCGGCCTCATGCAGATTTTGAGCGCCGGATGTTGTCCGGGATGCTGGTTCTTCGGAAATGAATCGCACTGAGCTATGCAGAACTCTCCCTTCTGCCCAGTCCCAAGAAAACAATCTGACACAACCAGTTCTTGCCCGTCTCCTGACGTCAGGACACCTTTCAGCACATGACCATGAAACAGGAGGAACACAACAGCGTAACACCCCAAAAGAACTGGAGAGTACTTCTCAAACTAGAGCAACTGTAACTCCTTGTAAACTGAGCGCTACATGACATGCTTCTGCCTCAAATTAACAGAGGTACAGTTAAGGTTAAAAGGGGATTACGCCCAAGACATTTTGTTTTCCTATCAAACGCATCCGTCGGCGGCACAGAAGCACGGGCAAGTCAAACTAACAACCTTCAGACTACACAGACACATGGACACCACCACCTTTAGTGGTGACGCCTTCAGTGACACCATGTAAAAGCTCCTGGGGACACAACAGAGTTTGCTTATTTCTAATAGGAAATAAAACCACACAGAGCTAACGACCAGCAACCACGGGGATATCTGACCACTTTTGCCACTGCCGCTTTCTCTTAGGACTGAGCAGAAATACAAAGGAGTCTCACTTTGCAGTCACGATGGCATACCAGGACGTGCAGATCTGACTTCAGAAGCTGAACAAAGGTACGGAGCAAACACTTGTTCCAAACGTTCTGCCCAAAAGTTCCAACGGTACGGCAAAACTGGTTACAAAACTCCCTTTCCTTTCACCGATTAATGCGCCTTAACACAAGATCACCCTTTTGCAGGATCTTTCGGAAGAAAATTAACACCAAAGCCTTCATCCCTCACACTCTGCAGTTCCTGCGGTACTTTCCTCCACATCCATGATGTTATCAGCAACGTCCTGGCCAGATTACCGCCCAGCAAGCTCTGTTCTGCCCCGCCGAGCCGGGCAGAAAGGTCCCAACAGCTACACAATCCAACACTCCCTGCCCCAAACAGCAAACGCATGCGCAACACCACCGAACAACAGCAAAACAGTCACAGCGCCCTGCCCCAGAGGCGACCGCATTCAGCATTTGGGTACGGTGATCCCCTTCAGTTCCTAATCCCATTAAAAATCTTGGGATCCTTCAGTCTAATACTACTGAGATTGCTCCTGGGGATGCTCACAACCTCCTGAGCAGGGACTGAAGGGCCAAGACTGAGCCCCCTTCTATCCTCCGATTCGGTCCTGCCTCGCGATTTGCACACCCTTCCGTGCTTTCACGGACCACGGCACAAGTGACTTCAATCCACAGAAGCCCACCCTTCCCTGAGCCGCCAGCTGGCACAGAAGAGCCAGACCAACACAAGGGACAGCTGTAGTGCCAAATTTTCTTCAAACATCCAAAAACATCACCACCACTTGCCCAAGACTCAGCA